TTAAAGGAAGCATGGATTTAGGACCTAAAGACCCGTACATTCAGCAGGATCTATACATATGTGTAAATGCTTCACAAAATGTCTTAGGAATTATCCATCAACAAAAAGATATTATCAACAATATTTTTAACTTGCACTACACTGTTGTACTGTAATTAAAGTTCTTCCAAATTAAGTAGAATAATGATATTGAATTCATCTGCAAAGACCCCATATGGTAGAATGAGGATATGAGTTATGCTTCAAATGCTTTTGCTATGAAACTAACTTTAATAATCGAACAAGCCTGTGTGTCACATTAGCATCTTGGAATACATTAAAAATCCCCTGTGTCGTAAATCCTTCCTGTAGAAATTGGACACCTACACTTATTATGGCACTTCACTGGGTTTTCTGGTAACATTTTAAATTGCTGCTATTCCTTCTACACTTTGGACTTCAGTGTGACTAAGAGAATAATCTAAAACCAAATCAAATTAGAACCAAAATGCTATCAAACCTATATTGACAATTGGAAAAAATACTTGGGATAAACACCACCTTTAAAAAAATAAATGTATGAGAAACTCACCTAGTCCGGCTCTGCAAAATAAACCATAATATCTACATTCCTATATATGTACATGCATCAGATAAGTTTGGATATAGATCGACATATATATAACTATCTATCACTACAAATCGGCAGCTGTAACAAAAGATAACATATCATTATTGAATCTTAACGGGAAACATTTTTATTATATGGAAATACTGATTGTTTGGCCTGGATTGGCACATTCCCCCCTTTTCAATTTTAATATAAAGGTGCGTCCCTCTTCTCTTCTTCTGTATCCTTTAATATTGAACTTTCCTGGTTGTTCTATATCTGGCTGGAATTATTCTAGATATAGTTTTACGAAATGCTTGAGGTTTTTATGTATGGATGCGGGTGTCAGTAATTTTGTATGAATATTTATGAGCACGAAACTATTGCATAGTGAATAATCACATTTAAATAAATAAATTGTTTATTCATCTTTTAATTATAGTGTGCATACTAATTTTTTTATTTAAAGATATATTGTTTTTTAATTCGTTGATATTATTTAATACTGCGGAATTTACATTTCAAGTTGATTTGCTAAAACCGCTGTCCCATAGTTTCTCAAAGTTTCAAACCCTTTTCCAATCCCATCGTACGAACATTGAAAGCATCAGATTTTCGGGTGAGGTTACTGATGCTCTTTATCTCTGAAATATGTTTTTAAATTAATATATCGAAATAAAATATATTAAATTCAAAAACCCTAAAAATAACCTCACCCACCAAATGTATGAACAAAGAGAACAAAATTTCAATAAAAACCCACGAAGCCAAGAAGACATTGCCACACCTATTTAAAGAAGGATGTAACCAATCTAGCCAGAAGGATGTCACTGCTTCTACTCCAGAGGTTCCTAGAAGGATGTCAAGATAATATTTCATCTTTTGAAAGTTATAAAAAATAAACGAATATTTTTGTAGTTTTACTACCGTTTAAAGAATCTATATTTTCAACTTTCTTTAGCACTCTGCCTGTAAGAAACTTTCGTGTAAGGATACTGAAATCAACACACAATGATCAGAACAGCAATGATGACGTTCCCACACACTTAAATGGTGTAAGTTACCCGGTGAAGGATGCAACTACCCATGGAATATGCAACTACACTGAGGAAAAGCTTTCGATCAAACTTTTAAAAGATTGAAATTAAAGTTGGATTAAGCCCTGTTTCTTTTTTCTGTTAAATGATTGTCATCATGTTTATATTAATCATGTAATTATATTTTATAAGAAGTTTGAATTGCATTTTAGAAGCACAATAAATGTTAATGTTTTAGTAACTACTGTATTCATACTGATTTTTAATTTTGGAAAGACAAAGCTTAAAGGTTTGTAGTACAACATATGTCATCTAAATATTGGATAAGCACACCCAATATTTAGGTTCAGAAGTACCCTAGACAAAAACAGAACGACGAGTAAATACAAATGGAATAAGATGACAAAATGTTAACAAATCTAAACCGGCAAAGATCAAGGAATTTTAGCTTAGTAACGACGCCCGAATCAGTTAATTTCCTTATGTCAAACTAAAATATATGTATCTTAAAGCAATAAAGCAAGCTCAAATTTTTAATCAATAAAATAAGCAGTCATAAAAATTATTCTTTGGTATTAAGAAAGTAAAACCAATGCAACCATGATCAACTGTAAAAAAAATGCCCAATTAAAACTAATTGTTCAGATTAAAACACATTAATTATATATATTTCTTATTAGTTTGTATTTGTATTTATATTAGCTTAAAAAAAAACAAATCCAAACAAGGTTAGAACACAGTATTCAAAACATTCAATTATTGACGAAAATTGCATACATTTTTCTTCACACACATGAACTAAATCGACGGCATATCATTGATTTTCTTTAATTTGTTTCGCTTTCCTCGCTGCACTCATTTAAAATAGACAATTAAAATGATTTATAAAATCGCTTTGAATATAAAAATCGCTTATATCTCTAATGCTTAGCGTTCACACTCAGATGGAGCAGCCACGCCCACAATCTGGGCCTGGCCGCCCATCACACATATGTAAGAGTCGGTCGACTGCAATTGGCCATACACAAAAATTGGATAAAAATTCAAGCGTAGCTTCGTCTATTTACAAAAATATGGTTGCACGTTTATGTTTTGGTTTAGATTTGTTATGTTGTTTGTTTTTTGTTTTTATTTTTCGTTTAATTTCTTAGCCGTTTTTAGAAACATTTCGAATACATTTTGTGTGGAGACCGTTTTTGGAACATCGATAACATAGCTAAGGTTCTTGAAAATGACATAAGAAGACAACTAAGGCTGGATCTGGAGCTGCATCAGAAATCGGGAGAAGTTGAAGTGTGGGATGGAGGGAGACTGGAGATGGGTTTCTGGAGTGTCTCAGTTTAACAATTGCAAAATAAACCAGCAAAGCGGCTACCAAACGGATATCGAGTGCTGGCTGGAGGATAGGCATTGGGTTTTGAACTTGTCTCTTGACTTGAAGTACATAGGCATTATTCGATATTTGTCGTTTGATTCGTCGTGCGTGACATTCGGATTTTATTCTTTAAAATGCTTTCGTAATATTATATAATATGCTCGTATTTACGTTTTTTTTTAAAGCTGACAACAAATGGAAATGCTTATTTAGAGAGAGGAGGTACACTCAAAAAAATGCTGAAGCACAGCTGCTGCTAATCCGCCTGTCCGATCATCATTGTACTTTTTGTACATAACGATTTGCTGATTTGTCTGGCCCACCACGATATGGAGTGCTTCTGCTAATGCCATATCCGGTTCCGGTTCCGGTTTGGTTTCAGTTCCGGTTACGGCCATGTTGCCTAGTGTGTGTCCTATGGGATGATGTCTGCCTGCCAATCTCCGCCTGCCTGCTGCCCAAGTTTATAATTCATTATCATCGTATTTATATATAAGTGTTTGCAGAATGTTATACATAGTCCTTAGAAAGTAACCCCTACTATTCGGTACGCCCACCGTGCATGTTCGTGTGCGTCCTGCCCGAGTCGTCGGTTTCCTAGTCACAATCCTTTCGTCCTTTAGCTAACTAGCAATTAGTTACATATGTATACACACCGGGGCGCCAACGATTCGTTCGCTCAATTCGCATTACATTCGCTATTTACATGGAACTCAAAGTTACGCTTCATAAATTTTGACTAGTTGCCTTGAAGGGGTCGTCTCTCTGTCTTTCTCTCGTTACTCCTTAATTAATTGTTACTCGATAATCGTCGCTATTCGTTCGCTTATGTTTTGCGGAATTTCAGGCAAAAATGCTTCCTTGGGTTCCTACTATGTACTTCGAGAGAAAAATGCTAGTTTTTGAAATCCTTTGGATACACACTTGATCATCATTAATTCCTCATTCACACTGTAGCAATGTTGATGCTATATATTCCACTGCTCGTGCAGTTGGTTGTGCTTTCATAAGAGACTTGCACACAGTTGTTGTTTATTCTAGACCTATATCACCGCTTAATTGTCTTAAACACTCTAATTATTTTAGCATCCTTCGCTGCTGATCCGACACCGTCCTCTGTCATTCATTTATTCATTCGTTTGGTTGAGTTGTGAGTGAGTTGTTGGTTGGTTGTGTCTTACGCAGTTAGTTGATTGATTATGAAAGTGGTGTGTGCCTCTACTTATCAAAGTTGCTCGAATTCCTCACAGTTCCTTACGTGTCTATGTATGGTATGGTTGTCAGCATATATATCTGTATGTATGTATAATTATTATAATGAATCATACAGTATATGCGTACTTTGCAAGGTATTAATTATGTATTATGAAACCAATGCGATCCTATGCAAAACGTTATTCATTATATGTAAGTATGTATATACTCGTATGAATGTATGTACTGCTTTGCGTCGTTTGTACATAAAAATATATTGTATATTTATGCCAAATATGTAGGGATGTGCTGCCATAACAGCTTAATAATTATCGTATGGCCGAGACGCTCTCGGCCCTTTGCTGTTTGTACATTTTGAAAGCGAAATCGCGAAAACGAATCACCGTTCGAATACAAATAGCGCTTCGTATTTCTATATATATGTATATATATATGTAGTTTAAACTGTTGTTTTCGTCCTGTGATTCTTAGGAAACATTTTTGAAATGATATACATAATACACACTACAAGATGATTTCAAAAGAAAACAAAACGAAAAAGCTTTTAGCTTGTATTCGTATAGTTCTGATGTCTTTCTTCTTCTGCTTTGCTTTTTTTATGCTTTCGATGCTGCTTAATGGGTAATCGTACTATAAATAAATAGCATTTGCTGCATATTTGCATTAATAGTTGCGCTACTTTTAGTAATAGACGCGTTTTACTAGGCCTAATACAAATAGCGCTGATCTAAGGCTGTATTGCAAACCATTTTCCATATTGTGTGGGCTCCTGCCTCTGCTCGTCTTAATTTATATCGAATCTTGTTTATTTTTAAAGCACTTAGAACTAAACAAAAGTGTGTAGCATTAATAAGAAAAAAAACAATACATTATATACAGCCAAACCCGTGCGAAGAGTTTCGATTACGCCTTACACATACTACACGAAATATACAATAAGTCTTGTGATGTGTCTTGTATACATGATCATAATGGGATTTGGTTTCTTTCGGGAATTAGTGATTGCGCTTTGGCTTGTCACGCTCGTCTATCTGCCTATCCGGAGCTGTTGTACTTCCTGACCGTCGCCCCTCAGCTGTGCAGGTGCAGCCATGTGGCCATTATCGCCAATAGGAGCAGCCCATCGACCAGTCGATGAGTCTGGGCGGCACTCGAGCCAGTCTCACCACATTTGCCTAAAGAAAGAAGTAATCATTAAGTTAGATTGCCTTGAAATAAAGAGTCCTATGTTAGGATTACCCAAAACGGAAAGGTTGGCCACCAGGTGATGCTCGGGTGGCTTCTGTGTGCCCCGATAGCAGGCGTCACCCACAACTAGCTTGGCAGATGTGCCCTCCGTGGGTCGGTAGGTGAGACACACACCATGCTTGCTACCCTTGTGGCGAGCGATCACGTAGAAAGTGCTGTTTTCGCTCCAGGACCCATGACAGGAGTATTCTGCAAGAGTAAGCCAAGGGTTAACTATAAGTTAAAATTAAAGATAGAGCTACATACCCTCTTCTCCGTCCACGCTGCACAGCGGACTAACGTCGATCAAGTTCTCTGCGGTACATCCTATCCAGAGCTGGCGCTGGGCATTGTAGTTGGGCACACAACCGGGTACATCCCGTCGATTCCGTGCGGCCACGAAGCCCACGCTCGTATCACTGCTATTGGTCTTTTCCAGGACCAAGGCTTGCTGCTGCTGTTCCTCCTCTTGCGGATCCTTGGGCGCGTTGCGTCGACTGCGAACAGGGAGGCCTCGAGTATTGGCATGCCACGAGCCCCGTTCCATTCGCTCCGCATTCCGGAAACTCAGCGAACTGTGCCTGAAACCACGGAAATAGATTGACAAATGCCAGAGGTAAACGGCGGCCATGTCACTGACGTACCCTTTATGACCGAAACTGCCCGAGTCAGCACTCTCGTGGTGATGATGTCCGTGGCCCAAATGGGACTTGCCGTTGTGATTGCGCTTGTGGCGCGTGGCCAGATACGGCGGCCCGATGGCGCCGCGCAGCGTATAGATGCCCTCCATTGGACACATGGCTAGGTCGGGATTGCTTGCTAAAAAGCGTAATAAAACAAAGGCTTAATATGACACAGAGTGGAGTGCAGTGACTGCCAGCATCCTTACCCAGCAAGGTAATGTAGGGCATCTTATTAATGTCAAAGTGATCCGGTGCACAGGCATCCTCCAGGCGAATGGCCGGCTTGCCCGTCTGTATCTCGATGACGAACGTGTCCCGGCGGTAGAACATCATGCACATGAATCCCGATTGGCTGCGGGGTGCGAAATGGAGCGAACATTGAATTGGAGTGGGAAACGGGGAGCTTTTCAATTTTAGGGCCACTTACCACCCGGTCGTGTAGTGCACCACGGCCATCATTTCGGTCGAGGTCTGTTTATTTATCTGCTCGCACAGCGCACGTGTCTCCATATAGCCGTTGGGCTTAATAATGTGCACGGACCCGTCGCTGCAAAAGAATCGTCGAATGTCAATCGTTCAGTTTGAGTTGAGTGACAACCTCAGGCCGCAGGCCTATTTGCTACTCACTTGGAATGATAATTGTAGACGGCATTGCCCATGAGGGCATGCCAGTGGCGTGGACCTTTGAACCAGGCCGGGAAGTTGCAACGCTCGGCTACTGGCGGTTTTCGCAGTGACATTATACGTGAGCCAACCTATGCAAAAAGGAGTTGGTTAGTTCGATTTCAAGTTTGGAATCTGGGATGCCTCTAGGCAGGATGAATACAGTTAGGAAAAACTATTCAAAAAGTATAGGTAACATGAAGGATATATAAATATTTGAATTGGTAAAGAAATACTCCATCGCGAAGCCTAATCTATGTTTTTAAGGATTAAACTTAAACCATAAGATAACCCGGTAGGTAGATAAGTTCAGCCAGCAAAAGGCTAAAACCTTTGAGAAGAGTTTCAGTTTGTGTAGGTTTATACCAAGAAACTTATTTTGCGCTGACACAGACAGACTGACATGGCTCGATTAAACTTGGGTGCAAGTAGTCTAAACGTCGCTCTGTTTTTCCTTCATCTTCAGGATTTTCACCGCACAAAAATCTACCCAGACTCAAAAAACAAGAGTTGTGTTAAAAAAAAAAAAAAAACATCACCCTTTAGATCGAAGAGCACGGTGAAGCAGTCCAAGAACTTGTAAACTTTTTACCATCTTGAGCAGAGATGCTAAAAAACGCTTGCCTGATTTTAACAACAATTTTTGGGCAAACATTTTTCTTCTGAGTGCAATTAAGTGAAAATGACAGGTGAACACAGGGGAGGGAGTAGTCAAGAATCGGGCTTGGGGAATGGGTAATCGGGCTTGGGGGGAAGGGGCTTCTGTGTGTTGAATTGGGGCTTTGTAGAAAATGCTTACCTCGGCACTGTCTAAGCCATTGCAAGTGGCGTCGCCGGATTGGGCCAGGTTATATTCGGCATCCTTCGAGCTGAGAACGCTGGGGCCGCCTGCAAAGGTTACGAATGTGTATGGGTATTAGGACTCAAACAAAAGTTTCATCCTGTTTGCCCGAGGGCTGGCTTGGCCCGGCTTGGCTGCTGCTGCTTACCCATAAGCGAGGAGATTTTCTCGTAGACAAAGCAGCGATAGCGCTCCTCGTTCGAAATGGCATGATGGTGCGAGACCAGGCCCACCAAATAGCGTGAGTTGCCATCCTTCCAGGTCGCCAGGCATGTCAGCTCCTCGACTGGCGCACGAAGGGCGAACGGAAGGAAGAACGGAAGTTAGGTAGGATGTTCGCCTTCAGCTCCAGCAAGGAGCGATGATGATGAGTCATTGTCACTTGGCGAGACTTACCCGTACTCTCGGTGCCCTGGACATCGGGACAGGCCTGGAAGCTCAAAAGGAGGCGACTCTCCTCCGTGCAGCTCTCAATGTTGGACACCGGCGACTTGCACTCCCCATGGCCACGATTATACGTGAAGATGAAGGGTCCTGCAATGGGAACAGGATGTACATAGATGAGTAAGATTCCTGGCTACTGGGTCCTGGGTCCTGGGTCCCTGAACTGCACTCCAAGTTCGTTGCATGCAACACTCACCCTTCAGCGGACACTTGACCGGCTCGGCGCTCTCCCGGAATAGCGAATAGAGCAGGGCATCGCCCGGGATTTGGTCGCAGAGATTCTGTAAAGTCTCACGGCCCTTGCAAAAGTCTGGGGGACATGATTATTTTAAAAGCACAAATAAAAATTCAATTAATGCAAATCGCAAATGAAGTTGTCTTTGTTGTAGGAGGAACACAGAACACATAGAAGTAGGAAAAAGTAGTAGGAATAGTACATAGTAGTAGTAATAGTAGTAGTAGTAGTGTTGGTGTTAGTGGGTAGTAGTAGCAGTATTTAGTAGTAGAAAGTAGTTAAGGTTAAGTGGGAATAGTAAATATAGTAGTAGCAACACATTAACGTAAGGTATTACAAGGTTGAAAGGAAAAACCAAATCTACAAAAGGTCTAGGAATTTCCAAAAAATGTATATATTTTTTGTTTCTTTTCGTATTTCGGTTCAGTGAGTGCCGCACTGGAAGCTGCCTCTGACTGGCTGGGAATTCTTCATCCATCCCAGGGCCATCGCCCAAGCATGCCATTTAAATTGCACAGAAATTTGTTTAATTAAGTGGCCGCGCTGTTGCTGATGGTCCGTGGAGAAAATTGCGCAAATAAATGACGAAATGGAGCTTTAAATCAGCAGCAATGTCGCCGACTCTGTTGCGTGTTGCAAGTTGCTGCGGTCACGGCCCCAGAGTAGCAGAGCAGCAGAGCTTCCAGCTTCAAGTGCGGCACCACTGACTGCAGCAGAAACAACAACAATTTCTGTGGAAATGTGTAAAAAGCAGCGGTAAGTACAATACATAAGTAAGATAAGTATGTAAGTTCCAGAACAAAAAAATACAAGAAAAACAGGAGTACAACAAAAAAAAAAATCAAAAAGAAAGGCAAACAAACTGAAGGCGGTAAGGAAGAACAAACCAAAGACTTATGACGTTCACAGAAATAACTTAAAGACAAGAGTTTTTCATTTTTTTTTTCTGTTCAGTGGCATTTCCTTGTGCCCAACTTTTGTGTTTTAAACTTAACTGAAAGGCACGACACGTTCGAAAATAAAGAACCGAAAAGCAAAAAACACACACTTGGTTCATCTTGTTCTTCCGGCTCTTCGAGCAGAAGCACAGGAAAGGGGGTTTGGAATGGATTGGGAATGGGGTTCAGGGGTTCAGGGGTTCAGGGGTTATGGTTTGGGGAAAAACAGAGGTAGTTACGGTTGTAAAATAATTTTAGTGCCCGGGCAGGGGCCGTATATAAGGTATTTGTTGCTAGAGCAAGCATATAACATTTGAACTTAACTAAAAATAATAACAAACATTTACTCATGATGAATAAATTGGGTATTTGGTTGTTTCTGTTTTTTTTTTTTTATGGCAAACGCGAGAGTTATATGTGTTATGTGGCACATATATTCGTTTCTTTTTTCTTTTTTTTTTTGGTAAAGGGTCCTCTCTTTTTTCGTTTCTTTTTTTTTTTTTTGTAAGGCTACTAGTTAAAGTTGTAGAGTTTTTGTTAAAAGTTTAATTTGTAACTAAAATCCATTTCATATTGGCATATAGGCCAACAGAAACAGATATGGTATAATATATACATAAAAACACATTCAGGCATGGTTCTCAACATTACAAAAATGTTTACAGCTAAAAAAGGCACACAACAAACGTATTTGGTTTTTGTTTAACAATTCTTTTTCAACAAATTGAACTGTTTCGGTTTCAGTTTGTTTCTTTAGCAATACAGCAAAGGCTACTCAGCAAGGATAACTCAAAAACAGGCACACGCAGAGTAGTAATCGCAAAAAGAGGTATAAATTATTGGTAAAGAAAAAGTAATACCAATTATGTAGGCGAGTGTGTTTGGTGTTTGATGTAAAAAGCCAACAAGGATATGCAGGATATACACACACACATGTGTGTGTGGGGAACCCGGCCTTGTGGCGCTTTTGAGTAATGATTGTAATTAAGTAGCAACTACACTTTATGAGTTATACAAGGCACAAAACAAAAGGTGGTGTCGTGGTGGGCGTGGCATTACGTGAGCGTTTGAGTGTCGTGTGTCCTGTGTTGTGTTTGAAGGGGGGAAGGGGAGTGTTGAGTGTGTGTGTGAGTGTGTAATGGTCAAATACTACGGAGAAGCGTTTGTAGCATATATAGGAGTATATCATGACAAGGCAAAAAACGACACATCACAGACATGGAAAAATAACCGAAAGGGAAAAAAATGGAAAATAAATTATAATACTTTTGCAGTTGGTTTTTTTCGGTATTCGGTATTCGGTTTGGGTTTTGGTTTTTTATTTTTGTTTTTTTTTTTTTTAGGTCGCAGGGACCGTTAAGCGCAGAGTTATATTAGATAGCCGGGCTAAATTACAGTAGTAGTAGAGTGGCCCAAAACATTCTAACACACACGCACAACACAATGATAAATGAGAGAGACACACACAGAGAGCTAGAAGGAACACACCGAAAAAGGAACGAAGGATATTCAACCAACGAACTAACGAACGAACAAACGACACAATTGTAACTTATGAGTAACCGAGAGAGCAGAAATTGTTGAGTTTCATGTTAAAATTACATTAATTAAATTACACACATGTGGGTATTTTTTTTTATTTTTTTTTTGGGGGGGGAGGTACGTACTTATAACCGAAACACTGAATAAAAACTAATTAAAGAACTCAAAAAGAAACTAAACAGACAAAGGATACCAACGAAAAGGACACAAACACGGACACACACGGGAAAGGAAGAGAGATAGAACAACACAGAATAATGGTGAACCCATAGAGCAAATAGTAGTACGAATAGTAGTAAGTAGTAGGGTAAGTAGTAGGTAAAGTAGTAAGTAGTAGGTTGTTAGGTTAGGTAGAATGTAGTAAGAAGAAAGTACAATAAGTAATTGATAAATGAGAGACAATTATACTAGCGGTCACCGGGCAGCCCATCCCAACATTTCATCATCATATACACAAAGCTGTATATATATACAATATATATTTGTTGCTAAATATATATCACTTTTTCATTTTCATTTTCATTTCTTTTTTTTATTATTGTGCTTCGTTTTTTCTCATTGGCATGTGCATAAAGGAGCACAAAATTTAGCTGAAATCCTTTCTGTTTTTGACATTCACGAAATTGAATTAGAAAACAAAGTATGACAGAGAGTAAGTAAAGGTAATGAGCGCATGGCGTTCTATACAAAAATGTGTCTCGAATTCGCTTTCATAGGCTTCAAATGAATTTTCCTGTATTTTAAATCCTTTTTTTATTATTATTTTTATCACTAAAGCGAAAACAGAAATCAAAAGCGAGAGGAAGTGGTGGGGATTCTTGTGGCGGGATGGATATATGATGGGGTGCGGTGGCGGTGGTTTTTGGGTGCATTTCTGGAGGGGATCGGACAACTGAAGAAACTCAAACAGACCGTTTTTGAAAACGAAATTTGAAAGGCATTCTTTTTGAAATGGAATGGGCATTGGGGTTGTACGATTTCCAAGAGCTTTGGTAGACTTGAGATCTGATTAGGATATAAAAACAAGGCAAAGAATTATTATTATTATTATTATGATTCCGAAAAGAGGTGATTATTAACCATAAAAAGGAGGAGAGATTTACAAACCGTTCGCTCGGATCACAGTCAATATTGAAGGTTTCAAGTTTAAGGATAAAACAATGGCAAAAAACTTATAGGTAGGTTAGGGATGTTCATATATTACAAGTGTGTGTTTATGTACATATCTTCATGCACCGCTACCAAATCTTGGAAATCCTACGTTCAGCTTCGTCCGGAGCCGAAGCTCTAGATTTATTTTTGGGTTAATTCTTTTGTTTTTAATTTATTTTTTGTTTTTTTTTCGCTCGCTCATGGTTTTACTGTACAAAGTTGATGATGATTTTTGTTAGCAGTGGATTAATTATAAACATTAATAATCATAATCATGTACAAATACAAAGAGTTATATATAATATTCAAAAAACAAAAGTCAAAGCGTCTCAATTGGTGACAACGAACAGTATCTCAGAAAGTAAACGGAAAATCGAAATCAATCGGTAGTAAATATGTATGTAAGTATGTATGTACCAACAAACAAACACAATTAAATATCTGTACAAGAGAATATATGGAATAATTGGACCTTTATTTACAGCGTTGTGTGTGATTTTGTCATTTTTGTTCATAAGTATTAACCATTATACAATTGTGGTGGTTCTAAGCGTCATATGTAAGTGCCTCTCCTGCTGCTCATGATGATGATTACTTTATGTGGCGGCTACGAGTGAGTATTTATTGTTTAACCAGGTAAAATCTACTTAATGCAGCTCTCTACGCACTCCCCAATAATCCTGCGGCAAAAATGGGGACGGAGAGACACGGCAGACACGCGACCAGGACACGGGAGCCACGAGACACGGGACCTGGGACAAAGCCAGCTAAGTGAGCAGAGCATAAAAATAATAATAATCAAGTATCAACAAAACACAGAACCTAACCGTAAACCGTAACAAATACAAGGCATACAAATTAAGACGAATGGGGTTTATGGCACGACTTTATGCCCATATAATATATACAATACTCTATTCTCATCTATAATATATACTATATAGATGGACGTGTATCCACGAAATTGACAATGGAACCGCGACGGATGGCAAATAACCGGGCCAAAATGGAACACAGACTGAATAGAAGCCAGGACATGCCAGGAGCAAGGAGCAGGAGCCGGTGCCGGTGCCGGAGCGACAACAAATTAATAGAACAAACGGGCACGACGACAACCAAAACGGACAAAAAATGAATGAGCACATAAAATATTGCATAAATAAATGAAATGAATTGAAATGAAAATGGCAATGTGAAAATATATATACATATATATTTGTTTATATATATATATATATATTTGTATGTATATGTAAGGTAGAAAAAACAACAATTGGCAACAGCACACACACACACACACACACACCGGCCAGGACCCGGGGAAAGAAGCACTCGAAATTGGTTGACACCCCGGGCGCCCGATGCCCGACGCCATGGAATTGCCCCGGAATCGGAATCCGGCTCTGTTCCCGGGTGTCCCTAGGTAAATAAGTTTTTATGCCCCGACAAATA